GGTGCCAGCCTAACTACCCAGAGTGCCAGCCTAACTGCCCAGAGTGCCAGCCTAACTGCCACCCAGAGTGCCAGCCTAACTACCCAGGTGTAGCCTAACTGCAGGTGCCGCCTAACTTGCAGGTGCCAGCCTAACTGCAGGGTGCCAGCTAACTACCCAGGGTGCCAGCCTAACTGCAGAGTGCCAGCCTAACTACTTGGTGCCGGCCTAACTACCCGGGTGCCAGCCTAACTACCCAGAGTGCCAGCTAACTGCCACAGAGTGCCAGCCTAACTACCACTTGGTGGCCTAACTACCCAGAGTGCCAGCTAACTACCCAGAGTGCCAGCCTTCACCCAGGGGTGCCAGCCTAACTGCAGAGTGCCCTTCTACTTGGTGCAGCCTAACTTCCAGAGTGCCAGCCTAACTACCACCAGTGCCAGCCTAACCCCAGAGTGCCAGCCTAACTACCCAGAGTGCCAGCCTAACTTACCCAGAGTGCCGCTAACTGCAGGGGTGCCAGCCTAACTGCAGAGTGCCAGCCTAACACAGTGCCACTAACTACTAGGTGCCAGCTACACAGGTGCAGCCTAACTACCCAGAGTGCCAGCCCTAACTACCCAGTGCCAGCCTAACTACAGAGTGCCAGCCTAACTACCCAGGGTGCCAGCCTAACTACCCAGTGCACCACTTGGTGCCAGCCTAACTACCCAGGTGCCAGCCTAACTACCCAGAGTGCCAGCCTAACTGCAGAGTGCCACCCAAGCACAGTGCCAGCCTAACTACCCAGGTGCCTAGAGTGCCAGCTGCTACAGGTGCCAGCCTAACTGCAGATGGCCTAACTACCCAGAGGTGCCAGCCTAACTACCCACGTGCCAGCCTAACTGCAGGTGCCAGCTACTGCAGGTGCACCAAACTATGCAAACTACCCAGGTGCCAGCCTAACTGCCAGGTGCCGCCTAACTACCCGGCCAGCCTACCCAGAGTGCCAGCCTAACTGCAGGTGCCAGCCTAACTACCCAGGGGTGCCACGTGCCCAACTTCCAGAGTGCCAGCCTAATCTTCCTGCAGAGTGAGCCTAACTGCAGTAACTAACTGCAGGTGCCAGCTAACTACAGAGGTGCCACCCAAACTACAGAGGTGCCAGCCTAACTACCCAGGGGTGCCAGCCCACTGCCAGCCTAACTGCAGATGTGGCCAAACTGCCCAGAGTGCCAGCCCCAAACTGCCCAGAGTGCCAGCCTAACTACCCAGGTGCCAGCCTAACTCCAGAGTGCCAAACTACCCAGGAGTGCACCCTACTACCCAGGTGCCAGCCTACTACCAGAGTGCCAGCCTAACTACCCAGGTGCCAGCCCCACCGCAGGTGCCAGCCTAACTACCCAGGTGCAGCACTTCAAGTGCCTCTTCAGGTGCCAGCCTAACTGCAGGGGTGCCAGCCTAACTACCCAGGTGCAGCCAAACTACCCAGGTGTAGCCAAACTACCCAGGTGCCAGCCTAACTAGGTGTACCCTAACTACCCAGAGTGCCACCCAAACTGCCCAGAGTGCCAGCCAAACTACCCAGGTGCCAGCCAAACTACCCCAGGTGCCAGCCTAACTACCCAGGTGCCAGCCTAACTGCCCGGAGGTGCCACCCAAACTACCCAGAGTGCCACCCAAACTACCCAGAGACAGCCCTAACTACCCAGGTGCAGCCTAATACTCAGGGAGTGCCAGCCTAACTGCCCAGGTGCCAGCCTAACTGCCCAGAGTGCCAGCCTAACTTCAGAGTGCCACCCAAACTACCCAAGTGCACCCAAACTACCCAGGTGCTCACAGGTGCCAGCCCTAACTACCCAGGTGCCAGCCAAACTACCCAGAGTGCCACCCAAACTACCCAGAGTGCCTGCCTAACCCGGTGAGCCCTAACTGCAGGTGCCAGCCTAACTACCCAGGTGTAGCCCTAACTCCCAGAGTGCCAGCCTAACTGCAGGTGAGCCTAACTACCCAGGTGCCAGCCTAACTACCCAGGTGCCTGACCTAACTACAGGTGCGGCCTAACTCCCAGAGTGCCAGCCTAACTACCCAGAGTGCCAGCCTAACTACCCAGAGTGCCGGCCTAACTACAGAGTGCCAGCCTAACTACCCAGAGTGCCAGCCTAACCCAGAGTGCCAGCCTAACTGCCCAGAGTGCCACCCAAACTACCCAGGTGCAGCTAACTACCCACAGTGCCAGCCTAACTACCCAGAGTGCCAGCCTAACTACAGGAGTGCAGCCAAACTACCCAGAGTGCCAGCCAAACCACCCAGGTGCCAGCCTAACTACCCACAGTGCCAGCCTAACTGCCCACAGTGCCAGCCTAACTGCCCACAGTGCCAGCCTAACTACCCAGAGTGCCAGCCTAACTGCACAGGTGCCAGCCTAACTACCCAGAGTGCCAGCCTAACTACCCAGAGTGCCAGCCTAACTACCCAGAGTGCCAGCCAAACTACCCAGGTGCCAGCCTAACTACCCAAGAGTGCCAGCCTAACTACCCAGGTGCCGGCCTAACTACCCAGGTGCCAGCCTAACTACCCAGGTGCCAGCCTAACTGCCAGAGTGCCAGCCTAACTTCAGAGTGCCAGCCTAACTACCCAGAGTGCGCAGCCTAACTACTCCCAGAGGTGGCCTAATCCAGGTGCCAGCCTAACTGCGGGAGTGCCAGCCTAACTACCAGAGTGCCCAGCCTAACTCAGGAGTGCCAGCCTCTGCCCACAGTGCCAGCCTAACTGCCCAGGTGCCACCCAAACTACCCAGAGTGCCAGCCTAACTGCAGGGGTGCCAGCCTAACTACCCAGGTGCCAGCCAAACTACCCACAGTGCCAGCCAAACACCCAGGTGCCAGCCTAACTGCCCAGGTGCCAGCCTAACTACCCAGGTGCCAGCCTAACTACCCAGGTGCCAGCCTAACTGCAGGTGGCCTGCTGCAGAGTGCCAGCCTAACTACCCAGAGTGCCAGCTAACTACCCAGGAGTGCCAGCCTAACTACCCAGAGTGCCAGCCTAACTACCCAGAGTGCTGGCCTAACTACCCAGAGTGCCAGCCCAACTACCCAGAGTGCCCCACTACCCAGAGTGCCAGCCTAACTACCCACAGTGCCAGCCTTAACTACCCAGGAGTGCCAGCCTAATCCACTTGAGTGCCAGCCTAACTACCCAGAGCTACTACGTGCTAGCCTAACTACCCAGAGTGCTGTAACTACCGAGTGCCAGCCTAACTACCCAGAGTGCCGCCTAACTACAGGAGTGCCAGCCTAACTACCCAGAGTGCCAGCCTAACCACCCAGAGTGCCAGCCTAACTACCCAGAGTGCCAGCCTAACTTACCGGTGCCAGCCTAACACCCAGAGTGCCAGCTACCAGGTGGCCTAACCAGTGCCAGCCTAACACCCAGAGTGCCAGCCTAACTACCCAGAGTGCCAGCCAACTACCCAGAGTGCCAGCCTAACTACCCAGAGTGCCAGCCTAACTACCCAGAGTGCCAGCCTAACTACCCAGAGTGCCAGCCAAACTACCCAGAGTGCCAGCCTAACTACCCAGAGGTGGCCTAACTTCACAGTGCAGCTACCACCCAGAGTGCCGCCAACTACCCAGAGTGCCAGCCTAACTCCAGGTGCAGCCACCCACAGGTAGACTACCCACAGTGCCAGCCTAACTACCCAGAGTGCCAGCCAACTACTCCACAGTGCCAGCCAAACTACCCAGAGTGCCAGCCTAATCCAGAGTGCTGCAGGTGCCAGCCAAACTACCCAGGTGCCACCCAAACTGACCCAGAGTGCCAGCCTAATCACCCAGAGTGCCAGCCTAACTACCCAGAGTGCCAGCCAACCACCCACAGTGCCAGCCAAACTGCCCAGGTGCCACACTACCACGCGCTAACTACCCAGAGTGCCAGCCTAACTACCCACAGTGCCAGCCAACTACCACAGTGCCAGCCTAACTACCCACAGTGCCAGCCAACACCACAGTGCCAGCCTAATCACCCACGTGCCAGCCACCACAGGCGCTACAGCAGTAACTACTCCACAGTGCCAGCCTAACTACCCACAGTGCCAGCCAAACTACCCACAGTGCCAGCCTAACTACCCAGGAGTGCCAGCCTAACTACCCAGAGTGCCAGCCTACACCCCACAGTGCCAGCCAACCACCAGTGCCAGCCTAACTACCCACAGTGCCAGCCTAACTACCCACAGTGCCAGCCAAACACCCACAGTGCCAGCCTATCACCCAGCAGCCTAACTACCCACAGTGCCAGCCTAACTACCCACAGTGCCAGCCAAACTACCCAAGTGCCAGCCTAACTACCCAGAGTGCCAGCCTAACTCCACAGTGCCAGCTTAACTACCACTTGAGTGCCTGTCGTTTATATCTGGTCTTTAAAGTGGATATTGAGGCACTTAATGTTTAGTGAGTGTTTAGATAAGGCATTTAAGTGCTTGTGAGAGAGGGGGGGGGAACTGGTTCATCCATCCTGTGTTCTTCCAACATCCTGCCACCCATCCTGCCACCCATCCTGCCACCCAACCTGCCACCCATCCTACCACCCACCCTGCCACCCATCCTGCACCCAACCTACACCCACCCTGCCACCCACCCAGCCACCCATCCTGCACCCACCCTGCCACCCACCCTGCCACCCACCCAGCCACCCATCCCCACCCATCCTGCCACCCACCCTACCACCCACCCAGCCACCCACCTCACACCCACCCCTGCCACATCCCATCCCACCCACCTCACCACTCCACCCTACACCACTCCAGCCACCATTCTTGCCACCCACCCTGCCACCATCCTACCACCCATCCTGCCACCTATCCCTACCACCCACCCTGCCACCCAACAGGTGGTACAAGCAGAGTGCCAGTCTGTGCCACCAGGGTCAAGATAATCTAGGGAGGGGGAGGGGTGGGGAGGGGGAAGGGGTGGGGGAGGGGGAGGGGTGGGTGGGGAGGGGAGGGTGGGGGAGGGGAGGGTGGGGGGAGGGGGGGAAGGGGGGTTGAGTTGACTTCCTTACCTCACTATGGCTCCTCGTTTGCAGGAAGTAGTGGCACGTTGCCTGAGGAGAGGGGGAGGGAGGATGGTGGGAGGGAAGGAAGAGCGAGGGAGGGGTGTAAGAGGAAAGAGGGGGAAGAGGGAAGAGGGAGGGGAGGAAAGAGAGGAACATTCCCCCCACCCCCAATTACCCCAAAAACACGATAAAATTGGCAACACTGACCTGTCACAAAGGCTGGCGCGATAGCTTGACAACGCTGTTAGCTCGATAGTAGACAAACTGGGTTCTTTAACGGCCATCTTGTTTAAAACCACACACAAAACCATCGTTAAACAAACCACTCCGTTAAACCACACAAACCACCTGTTAAACCTGACTTTTTCCGTGTCATGTGGTTCGTTAAAACACTTAGGATCTATTTCTTTATAAACCAGACTTTTCAGTGTCATGGAGTTGTTAAACCAGATATCACCTCGTTAAACCAGACTTTCACTGTCATGGCGTTGTTAAACCAGATTCCACCTCGTTAAACCAGATATCACCTCGTTAAACCAGACTTTTCACTGTTATGGCGTTGTTAAACCAATTCACCTCGTTAAACCAGATATCAACTCTTTAAACCAGACTTTCAATGCCTTGGAGTCATTAAACCACTTGCATATTGTTAAACCATATCTATCAACGAATCTACCTTCTTAAACAGCCTCTAATGCCCATACAATGTAGTTAAACCAAGGACAAGTTTAAACAAAACTTATCAATGTTAAACGGTCGTTAAACCAGTTAAACCACCACAGATCACATTCTTTGGAAAATCACATGTTAAACCAGTATAGAGGACGTCACAGCCTCGATAAACCAAAGTTCATCAGCACTTCAGGAGGTTTAATCCACATATTTTGACGTCCATACCTGTTAAACCAAAAACATTCAGATATAAACTTGTTAAATCAAATTTTTTCTGTTGTTTTATGTCTATTAAACCAAATATTTCAGACAGACTGACTTGTTAAACCAATTTCCTTGCGGGTTTATGTCTGTTAAACCAATTTTCTTGTTGATTTACGTCTGTTAAACCAAATATTGCACAGATAACGACGTGTTAAACCAATTTTTGTGGGTTTATGCATGTTAAACCAATTTTCCCGTAGTTTAATGTTAAACCAAAAATTTCACACATCGACTTGTTAAACCATTTGAAGTTCATTAACTTAACCTAAATCTAAACCTACCACCATTATCACTCACTACCAATGATTAGCATTTACCTACCATCACCACAACCACCACTACCACCACTACCACAACCACCACCACCACCACCACCACTACCACTACCACCACACCACTACCACCACAACCACCACCACTACCACCACCACCACCACACACTACTTCACTACCACCACCACAACCACCACCACCACACACCACAATCCTTAATATTACCACCACACCACTACCACAACTACCACCTATTCAGCAACAAGTACAAGAGGTCAACACTTCCTTTCACCTTTGACTCCAATTTCCACCACCATAAGCAGTATTACCAACCTCCAGAGAAACACAATTGGCAACACTGATTGACCTCTCACTTCAAGCGACCTTAAAATGACCTCAAGGGGGTGGGGAGTTTGACCTAACCCTCCCCTTAACCTCCTCCCCTAACGCCCTTCCTAACCCCTTTACTCTGGTCCGACCCCCTAAAAACAACGACCCCGTTAATTGGATTATTTTGTTTTTATGCTTATTATTGTCTGTCTGTCTGTCTGTCGTGTCTGTCTGTCTGTCTGTCTGTCTGTGTCTGTGTCTGTCTGTCTGTCCCAACTATCATACAACTAGACAACATACATACATACATACATACATAAATAAACAGACAGACAGACAGACAGACAGACAGACAGACAGACAGGCAAACAGACAGACAGACAGACAGAGACACAGATAGCAGACACTAGATGTTCACTACACGAACAGAAATAAGTAACTGATGTGTGTCTGTGTTGGTGGTGACCTTGTCCTGTCGAGAACGGATGTACTAACACCAACCACACTCGCTACCACAATCTACCACCACTACTACCTACCAGCACTATCCAACGCTAGTATTATCTACTACCACCACTCCTACCACAATCTACCACCACTACTACTGCAATCACCATCCAACGCTAGTATTATCTACCTACCACCACTAGCTACCACAATCTACCAACTACTACCTACCATACCATCCAACGTAGTATTATCTACTACCACCACTAGCTACCACAATCTACCACCTACTACTACAACCACCATCCAACGTAGTATTATCTACCTACCACCACTAGCTACCACAATCTACCGCCACTACTACCTACCATCACACTATCCACCCCTTTATTTTTATCTACCTACCACTAGCTACCCACAATCTACCACCATCACTACTACCCTACCAACCACTATCCACCGCTAGTATTATCTACCTACCACCACTAGCTACCACAATCTACCACCACTACTACCCACTAATCACCATCCAACGCTAGTATTATCTACCTACCACCACTGGCTACCACAATCTACCACCACTACTACCTACCAACCACCATCCAACGCTAGTATTATCTGCCTACCACCACTGGCTACAATCTACCACCACTACTACCTACCAACCACCATCCAACGCTAGTATTATCTGCTACCACCTGGCTGCAATCTACCACCACTACTATCTACCAATCACCAGCTACCACTACCATCATCCTACAGTTATCTACTATTATTACCACCGCTTCTACCAGCCTACTTTTACTTACCACTACCAATTATCTAATTACTTTAAGGTGTACCACAATCTGCTTATTATATTAATCTACCTACAATAATCTATTACCTTCTACAATTTACTACATAATAAAATCGGCTAACATTACTACCATAATTACCTTCTTAACCACAATCACCAACAACCTGATCCCAGCAACCACCATTCTTTACCAGTCTACCACTATCACGCCCTGCGCCCGCACACCACCAGTGCCTCATCGTACCACAATCCTCTACCACAATTCTCCTCTCTCTCTCTCTCTCTCTCTCTCTCTCTCTCTCTCTCTCTCTCTCTCTCTCTAAGGTCAAGGGTCACGACAGGAGGAAGGCAAGGTAATAAATGTGGGTTAACTTGTTGTGTCTTTTGTTCATAGAGATAGATACTATGCTATTTCAGGAGGCTGTATGGTGACCCAAGCTCTCTCTCTCTCTCTCTCTCTCTCTCTCTCTCTCTCTCTCCTCTCTCTCTCTCTCTCTCTCTCTCTCTCTCTCTCTCCTCTCTCTTTTCCAGTAGCTACACTTACACCTGTGTTGAGCAATACGTAGCTTCTA